GTTTTTTTTTTTTTCCCCCCCCCCCCCCCCCCCTTGAATTTATATTTCAGTGCTGTTTTGTAAAACGGTGACAGTCATTCTGAGTCAAGTATAGGGAGGACTGAAGAAAAAAGGTGTAGCACCTTTTTGCTAAAGATTACATCAAGTATTTGAAACGGTGTTTTGTCTTGTAATCTTCATATTGCCTATTATCTCTATTGCCAGACCTGCTGTAAAATAGTGAAGGTACTGGAAAAAAAATGCAGTCGTTCATTCTTTTAATTACTTGGCTGCTTGATATTTATGCTTTAAATTCAGTCAGTTTGGACAATGGATTTAGATCTGCACTGACATTATGCGGCAATGTTAGTGTTGCAAACACTGCAGAGAAATGTTCATTTTAGCACCTGTTTTTACAGTGAAGACTCACAAAGAAAAAGATATTGTTTAGTTTCATCAGCAACATAGCGAGGTGGTTTTGGGCCGGGCAGGATTGCCTCAATAATGAGGTGATTGGACCAATTTGTTGGGGTACTTAGATGTACTGTTTTTGTAATGTATCTTTCATTTGGAATACATTGGAGAGGAGAGAGCATATTTGAGCCAGCTCTGTGTAGTGTTACAGAAAGGAAAATTATAGCAGTGGGTAACAGACTTTTGAAGAGACAGCATCATGGAATTCATTCTAATTAATTACAAAAATGTTGCTAAGAAAAAAACCAAAACACCACACATTGCATGGTGAGCCTTTGAGATTGCTTTAATTTTTCTGTGGCTGGGTACCTTCCTCTCCCCTGGCCTCATGCTTGATTTTCTGTTGTTGTTTTGAAGGGTAGATGCTATTAAAATGAGCTGAAAATCTTTTTGAAAAGGACCTCGGAACAAGAAGTTGAGTAGTCTTTCAAGTTGTCGACCCTTGTCTTGCAGATGTTTATGCTTTGAAACTTTACCTGCATTTGATGTCCTGTAGAAACCAGTGGGACTACTTCTGCTTAAAACTGAAGTATATGCATAAATGTTGAATATGAGCCTTGAATGCTCATTATTCTAGCTCTGCTTGACATATTTGCAAGCTGACAGTATCCTGTTAATGGCATCTGGAAGCCTACACTTAATACTCAGTTTAAAAGGCCCTGGTTTTTGTTTTGGTGGTTTTTTTTCTGCTTTATTCCTTCTAATTTTCAGTTATGTTTATACTTTTGTATTAGAATTTTAATTTCTGCTTCAGGTAGGACTATGTATATTGCTGTGGGAAAAACTCAAGCATTGCTGGTTTTAGGCTTTGCAAAATGGTATTTCTCTTCCTGAGGTTTTTGGTCGACATGTGCATCATCCTCACGGAACTGCTGCGTGGAGCTACCCAGGGTTGCTTTTTGCTAGAGGGAGTTACTTTTGAGGTCATGATTCCCTGGAGATAGGAAGAGTAAAAATCTGTAAAGTAGTAGCAGCAAAAGGGCAAAGTTAGTGGAATTAGGATGCTGTCAATTTGGACTGAAATCCTGGTTTTACTACTGATTCATTTTGTATTCTTGGGCAAATCACTTCCCTTCTTCAGTTTTCCCCCTTTTGTGTCCTTTTGTTGTAATTACTTATTTTTCTCCGTGGTAGTGACTATCTATTGTTTAGAATAAGGGACTCTGACTTTGGTTGATAGTTTGATGCTATCTCTAGGGGCATTTAGATAATTTTGATATAAATAGTTACAGGAAAAGTGGGATTAGGTGACAGAATTTCTAATGGTAGTACTAATAATGATGGTGTTGAGCAAGGAAATGCTATAAACTATGGGGTGGGTTTTGGTTTGATGATACTTAGCACAGTGTTAAATCATGGCTCTTACGGTTTAAAATGAAAAAAATTTTCTCTGGTTCATAAATTTATAGTCACAACATGATTCTAAGTTTATAGCAAGAATAAATAAAAAAATACAGCAGTAGAAAGCGAAAATATATTATTTATTGCTGGGAGTTCTTTTTATTAGGTATTCAAAACCAGAGTTGATTATAAGTTCTTAAAAGTGGTGCTTGCAGCCAGAGTTGCTGCTTTGATGAGTTTGAGGCCTCTGCAGCCCAAAACAGTAGTGATGCATCAGGAATTGACTGTGTTATAGAAGTAATTCTGAAGCTTGTTCTATTAAAAAAAAACCAAACAAACCAAAAGCGAAACCTGAGTTTGATACACGTATGTGCATATATATGTATATGCATTTCCTTTGATGCCAGAATGATGCTTCATAGACTTAATGACGTACTGTTCTTGTATTTTAATGGTTGTAGGCTATTACCAGCATTGCAAGGCTATGTTAACTTTTATAAAACTTAAATAGCCTTAGTGCTAACATTTTCAGATGGTTGTCCTGTAAATCAATGTTGAGTATTTATTTTAATGAAGTATCTCTTGTAAGCTATTTGCTCCAGATGCAGTCATCTGGGTAATGAATGGTTTGTGATATGAAGTTTTGTTTTGTTTTTCAGTTATGTTTACCAAGCTAGCTGTATTAGCTGCCCATTGGTGATCATATTTACATTGGCAAGCATTTCTTTAAGCAAGACAGAGTGATTGAGAAGGATTAGTAAACTAAGAATCTGAAAAGAAATGAAATTTCAGTTAGAAGAAAGGGAACTTTAGTTATGTCCTGTGTAGCAGGCTCCTAAATGGAGTAAGTGGTGGGACGTGATACATTAGCAGTGCAGTGTGGTTGCCCAATTACTCGCAAATAAATCCTGGTCTTTCTGTAAAGTAGCCTTTTGCCAGTCCCCTTTTTGTGGTAGTGTTGTGGAAAAGAAACAGAAAGGAGTAGTTTTCTGAGTTGCTGAACAGAAGCTAAAAGTATATAAACCCAAGCTTCATATTTAGAAGGGAAGGCAGCCTTTTGCCAAAGGTAAAGGCTGTACAGTAGTATGTTTGTAGAGAGCACTACTATGTTCACATAATACTCATGATTGTTACAGAAACTTTGTGTTTGTTCTCTTTCTGAAGATTTGCTTTCTACAAAGCTTAGGCAAAAGTTTGTTTGTCATCCATTTCCTCTTCTCTATGGTTCTTTCAAAGTAACAATGTTATTTTCCTGCTTAAAATATTTACCCAATTGTGTTTGAATAAGGGGAGGTGGTGGAGGGGCTGGGGTCAGGAAATGGAACCTTGACATGGAATTATCCCACAGCTAGAGCAAGCATTTGTGCAGCATGTAAAGCTGTATGCGCTGTATTCTGCTAATACTGAAAATTTAGGTGTTATCTGTTAAAGATCTGAGTGGCTTTCTGTACTTGTATTAATAGTTTTCTGTAACCCGAAGAGTTGCATAAATCATTGTGAAGTCATACATGTCAGAACATTTTAAAAGGTAGACCACCTCAGATGATTTATCCTGTGTATTTGTTTATTTGTTCTTGCTTTTAGCGCATTAAGTGTAATTTAAGGCAAATTGTCTTAGACAAGATTTTTTTTTAGTGGCTACTTGTAAATACTTACAGAACACCACAGAAGTAAAAAAAATAAAAATAAATTAATAGCTTCATGAGCAGTGCTACTTGGGAAGCCTGTTTGTCATGTTTTTTTTTTAATAAACATGTCCTTTGTTATTCCTGCCCTTCCCCCATGTCTCCTACACAGTAATCATCTCCATCCTCATGTATCTTGTGGTACCCTTACCAGATAGGACACATGCTTTGGCAAGTCTGGCATCTCATGTATATAATAATGGGTCAGTTGGCTGCTTCCAAACAGGGTATTTAATAGATGAGTTATGTTTGTGGGAACACTGATTTGAGTTTTCACACAATTTGTTGAAATCTGGTTAATCTCTAAGAATTCTTAGTTTTCAGTTTGCCTGGAGCCTGGCCATAAAAAATTATCTCGAGGAGAAGAACAAAACATTGCTATTGCTTTTTAAATTGGGGTGTAAATGAATCAGTTTTTTAATTAGTTTATGGTATCCCTTGCCTGATGGTAGTATTGTCATTACGATATGAAAGGATTTTGGCTTATTAGAATTCTGTAGAGAATAATGAGTCCATTGGATTTTGTTGGTTCTTAGAAGTAATTGAAATCACTATTAACTTCTGTGCTTAACAGTGAGTGGTATGGATACCCCTTGTACATCTTATTTTACTGTTAAAATGTTCTTTTATTGGACAGCTGTATATTGCCACCTAATTATCTTTAGTACAAAAGAGATTCATAACAAATTCAAATAGCAATTTGAGCAGCACTGCTTCTATTTTCTTCCACAGCTTTAAGAGTGAGAATGGGTTTTAAGAACTTGTAGGCAAAGGTTGTAAAATTCATGTGTAAATGAGTGGTGACAGAGGAATGGTGGGCTCCATCATGATGGGCTCTGGGTAATCCAGAGAAGATTTGGGAATAGATGACAAAAGTAAAAATAACTGTGGCAAGGACATAAAGGTAGGGGACTAATATGAAATGCAAATAGTAAAAACATTAATGACAAGTGGAGATCAGGAATACTGGATTTTATGGTGTACTAAGGTTGGAGGGACATTAGGAAATTACAGCTATTTAAAAGTAATTAGGCGTGAAAGTACCCTTCTCATAACCTGGTTTCTTTTGTTTTT